GCTGCTGCTGCTGCTGCTGCTGCTGCTGCTGTGGTTGCTGCTGCTATTGTTGTTGCTGCTGCTGCTGATACTGGCGCTACTGCTGCTGCTACTGCTACTGCTGTTGGTGCGATGCTATTGCTGCTGTTACTCCTGTTGCTGCTGTAGCTACAACAGTCGCTGCTGCTGCTGCTGCTGCTGCTGCTGTTGCTGCTGCTGCTGCTGCTGCTGCTGCTGCTGCTGCTGCTGCTGCAATGAGCGCAGCTCTTAAAATGCCCCGGCTGGCCTTTGTGTTGGAGGCAAAGACACTTGAGGTGTACAGACACCAGAGCAAGCTACACAGATACAAACAAACAATCTCAGCAGCAGCAGCAGCAGCAGCAGCAACACTAGCAGCAGCAGCAGCAGCAGCAGCAGCAAGACTAGCAGCAGCTCCTAGCAAATGAAGATGCAGGTACTGCCTACATACTGCTGAGGCAGATGCTGCTGCTGCTTTTGCTGCTCTTGCTGCCGCTGCGTGCTGCTGCTGCAGCTGATGTTGCGGCTGCTGCTGCTGCAGCTGCTGCTGCGGCTGCTGCTGCTGCAGCTGCTGCTGTTGGCTATCATATCGCCCTGAGGATTAAAGAGGCAGCAGCAACTGCTGCTGCACTCGGGGAGACGCTGCGCTGCAGCAGCAGCAGCAGCAGAAGCTGCTGCTGCTGTTGCTGCTGCTGCTGCTGCTGCTGCAGCTGCTGCTGCAGCAAAAGTGTTAAGAGAGAGCGCAGCAGCAGCTGGCAGCAGCAGCAATGGTTTACTGTCTCCTCTTTCTCCAGGAGACATCAGACCCACCGAACAACCTGTCTCTTCTCTGCAGCAGCAGCAGCAGCAGCAGTTGCTGCTGCTGCTGCTGCTGCTGCTGTTGATGTTGTTGCTGCTGCTGCTGTTGCTGTTGCTGTTGCTGCTGCTGCTGTAGAGACTATGGGGTTTTAGCTGCTGCTGCTGACGGCAGCAGCAAGGCAGCCCCACCCTCGCCTTCTTGCGCCGTTGCTGTCTCCTCAGTCTGCTGCTGTGTATCGCTTGCTGCTGCAGTTGCTGCTGTTGCTGCTGTTGCTGCTGTTTCTGCTGCTGCTACCGTCGGTGCAGCATCCGCTGCAGCAGGATCACCACCACCGGCAGCAGCAGGATCACCACCACCAGCAGCAGCAGCAGCAGCAGGCTCAGCAGCAGCAGCAGCAGCAGCAGCAGCAGCAGCAGTTGAGGGTGGCTGCAGCAAAGGCAAGAAAGAGGAGCTGGGGTGTCTTCGCAGTGCTGGGGAGCCGAAGCTGCTGCTGCCTGTGGCCTTCTCGGGTGTACAGGCAGCTGCAGCAGAAGAGGTATTGTCTCCTGCTGCTGCTTCTGGTGCTGCAGCAAGCAGCTGCTTCACGCGCCGCAGCACCTAATANAGGTATTGTCTCCTGCTGCTGCTTCTGGTGCTGCAGCAAGCAGCTGCTTCACGCGCCGCAGCACCTAATACACACACACACAAACCCTAAACCCTAAACCCTAAACCCTAAACCCTAAACAGTCTTATTGGGGATGAGAAGCAGAGACAAGCAAATATACACACAAACAACTCGCTGCCTCCGTCTCCTTTCTGTCTCCTTTCTGTCTCCTTTTTGTCTCCTTTCTGTCTCCTTTCTGTCTCCTTTCTGTCTCCTTTCTGTCTCCTCTTGTCTCTATCTGTCTCCTTTTTGTTCCTATTTGTCTCCTTTTGTTTCTATTTCTCTCCTTTTGTCTCTACCTGTCTCCTTTTGTCTGTATCTGCCTCTCCTTTTTGTCTCTATTTGTCTCTTTTTGTCTCTGTTTCTTTCTTTTTGTTTCTCTTCCTCTCTTATTGTCTCTATCTGTCTCCTTTTGTCTCTATCTGTCTCCTTTTGTCTCTATCTGTCTCCTTTTTGCCTCCTTTTCTCTCCTATTATCTCTATTCGTTTCCTTTTTTTTTCTCTGTCTCTCTCTCCCTTATTATCTGTCATTCTCTCTTTCTGTCTCTTTCTTTGTCTCTATTTCTCTCTCTTTCTCTCTTTCTTTCTCTCTCTTTCTCTCTCTTTTTCTCTCTTTCTGTCTCTCTCTCTGTCTCCTTTTCTCACCTCGTTAGCTGAGGGTCTGTCTTGGGGGTTGGGTTTGGCCATCTCCATCATCAGGTCTCTCCAGCACCCTTGGTGAGCATCCACATGCGGCGGCACCTGCGTATACACCCCAGCGCATGCAGCAGCAGCAGCAGGGGGATTAGTATACACAGCAGCAGCAGCAGCAGCAGCGGGATTAGTATACACAGCAGCAGCAGCAGAAGCAGAGTCAGCATATACAGCAGCAGCAGCAGCAGAATCAGCACATACAGCAGCAGCAGCAGCAAAAAAAAAAAAAAAAAAAAAAAAAAAA